CCCCAAAACCCCAAAACCCCAAAACCCCAAAACCCCATTTAAAGGCTATAAAATTGGAGAATTATTATAAATATGAAAACTGTTGGAAATTATATTTTATGAGATAAAATCGGAGAAGGAGCTTTTGGAGCTGTCTATCTTGTCAGATCCAAAAATAAACCTAAATCCAATCATAAATTCAGACATATACTAAAATAAAGATCTCAAAATTGCTTGCAAACAGATGAAGCTTAAAAGTTTAAAAGGAGGATTGAGAAAATACCTTTATCGAGAGATTGGTATCATGAAACAGATAAATCATCCTAATATTATGAGGCTGACTGATACACAGCAAACTAAGAGTAGTATCTACATCTTTATGAAGTTTTGTAATGGAGGAGACCTTAGAAGACTTTTACAACTTAGAGGAGGCAAACTCAAAGAAGATTTTGTCAAGTTAATTATTAGCCAAATTGCTTCAGGCCTTCATTATCTCAATGAGAATAAAATTATGCATAGAGACCTTAAGCTCGATAACATTATGATTAATTTTCCATCGTTTACTTCAGATGGGGCTGTTCCTGATGAGTATATCCAGGAATTTAATCATGAAATTGAAGAGATTGAAGTCATCATTGGAGACTTGGGGTTTGCAAAATCAATGCCAGACGATAACACTACTGACTCTTACTGAGGAACTCCTACCAACATGGCTCCTGAAATAATGAACGAATTTTCTTACAACTCCAAAGTTGATATATGGTCAGTCGGTACTATAATTTATGAACTGCTTATTGGTTTCCCTCCTTTTGATGGGTGGACTACTCGTGATCTCAAGAAGAAAGTTAACAAAGGAGATTATGGAATTCCTAAGGGAATTAAGCTCTCACTTTCATGAGTTGACCTACTCAGTAAATGCCTCAAATTCGAACCAAAGAAGAGAATTTCACATATAGAACTCTCAGAACATTCATTTATTCAAATTGAAGATACAGCTGAGAATATGCCAATTGCTGTCAGTAAATGTCCAGAGGTAAATGGAGCCCCTGTAATACCTGATTTTGGATTTGCAGTTTCGGATAAGAATGCAGTAATGCTCAATGCAAAGGAAAGCATTTATTTCAACAACCTTCAAACAAAAACCATTGAGAAGGAGCGATTACATAGCAAACAAATGGAGAAACTGAGGAAGATTTTGCCAAACTCTTCTGATTTATTAGACCAATCTTAAGCTCTAAATCTACTCGTGACATCCAAAATAATGACTTAATGAATAAAATCTATTCTGATGGAGCAGAGTCCTCTGTGGACTCAGAGGACTCTGACAAAGAAGAGGGTAAGCATTATGAAGAGAGCAACCTATGCGAAATTGAACATAGCAGATTTATAGAAATCAACCTTCCCCTTGCTTGTAAAAGTAAGAAGGATACCTCTTCTGGTAAAAATAATTCAGAAGAGTTTAAAGAAAGTGACCATACAGAGAATTTAAAAGAGCATAAAGTCTCTGAAATTGAAAAGAAGACCCAATTGGACACTAAGTTGCCAAAAGAGAAAGAAGCTTCAAAGCTTGGAGTTAAGCAAAAGCCTATACAGAAAAAGAAGAATAACTTTTTGAGTATGAGTGCTGTAAATCAAAATTATGCTGATGGCAAAGCATTGAAAGTCGAAAAATTGTCTGAAGAGAACAATATCGAAACAGATTTTGATATAATAGAAGATGATTATGCTGTGGTAAATAAGCCAGAAGGGCTTAGCCTTTCAATGTTCCAGAGTAACTATTTCGGAGGTGGATCTGATACAAAATCCTCTTCAAATTCAAAGATTGATGATAACTATGTATTGGTGACTTCAAGCGAAATTAAAAATATGCCATCGAATAACCTACAGGGTTCTACAAGTTCTTAAATTGATATATTTTATTTTGGGATAAAGTTAAGAATCAATTGTATTATTATCACGGGGTTTTGGGGTTTTGGGGTTTTGGGGTTTTGGGG